ATTTCCTCTTATCAGGGAACCTAAGGCTTCACGGTCCATCCCTTTGGAATGGTTTGATTTTCATCACAATGTCCTCGTGAACTTTTCGTTTTCTAGCGGGTGTGATTTTCACGATCCAAGACAAAACTACAAACGGTTATAAGATAATTGAGATAGTTCGCACGCTCTCATAGGTCACTGAAAGACAAACTAAAACCAGAAGTGAAGCTGATTCACGTATAGTCCGACCTATCAAACCTAAAGCTTTCGCGACTCCAGATTTACCGCACGAACGAGATGTTGTTGTTGTGTTCAAATCTATTCTGAAAAGAGACCACAGTCCAGAACAAACCAAATGCACCCCTTTATCGGGTGTTAATCATACTACAAAAAACTCTGATAAAAGTTGGTTCAAAGCCAATGCAATGGGAGTTAACAAACTTAACAGTCTCATGAAAACAATAGCTGAAAAAGACGGTCTTGACAACTCTCACCTTACGAACCACAGTGCGTGAAAACGAATGATTCAAACATTGAATGATAAGGGTATTCCTTCTAATCATATATAATGCAGTTATCAGGACACAAAAATGTGCAGAGTACTTACAACTACAGTCATCTTTCACAAAAAACAATGGAAAAGTATGTCAAGAATATTGAGTGGCCCGACTTCAATAGTTCAAACTGAAACACACTCTTGTCGAAACAACGTAACAACAAAGTCAAACGCCGACAGCAGCAGGGCTATTCGAGGATGCTGTGCTTTACGGAAGAAATTTCAACATCAAGTCGTCCTCGTCTTCAACAGAAGCACATAAACAACAAACTTATAGAGGAATAACATGCATATTTGACTCTTCAGACGACGAAGACACTACACGAGTTCACCTTTGACATAGAAAGAGTCACCTTCGTTGAAAAGCTAAGTACTTATTTTTGTCAAGCTTTTCCTCCTTTTTCTTTAGGATATTTTTGAATGAATACTTACGAAAAGTAATTCGTTGCTAATAAACTGTCATGCTGTAAGCTTAGTTACTTCATTTCAGTATTTAATTTCACCATTTCTAGCCTTGATTTAACTTGTAAGGCACTTTTTTTGTTAGTTCCATAGAATTAGCTTTCAAACCTAAGTGGATACTTGTAAAAGCGACTTGATAAATCACTTTGAATTTCAAGAAAATCTCAGTTCGTATATAATAAACAAACTCACTCTCTCGCTTAGCCTCGTTCGTTCGTTTTGTGAAAGTGGTCAACTGTACCGCGGGCACGCTAACACCACGGCTTTGTCCAGTAGTCCAGTGTTCAGTGCACTGAGCTCCGAGTCGGACGACCCAGGTTCTAGTCCTGGCCAGGGAAAAGCGTTGAGAGTTGCGGAAAAAAAATGCGAGTTCTGCTTTTAGGCTTGGCTAAATCTATATATTACAAAATAGTAGTAACCCATCAAGCCGAAAAAAATTGGATGTACGATCGTACGACCGTACAAGGTGCTACTTTTAACATGCGTGGTCAACTGTGATCGCGGGGACGCCAATACCAGGCTTTGTTCAGTAGTCCAGTGGTCAGTGCACTGGGCTCCGAGTCAGACGACCCAGGTTCTAGTCCTGGCCGGGGCAAGGCGTTGTGTCCTTGAGACGTGCGGGAAAAAAAAAATGCGAGCTCTGCTTTTAGGCTTGGCTAAATCTATATATTTAATAGATAATTACTTCGGTTCGCAGCATTATTAGGTATAATGCTGCGAACCGAAGTAATTAACTATTATAATTATTGACCCTCATAAAATCCTATTGTTCTCTCTCTGCATTACATCGACGATTTCAGTCGCCCCTTCATATTGATGTTTTGGTACACCAACAATGCAACTGGCAAGCATTGTCCAGTAATAATACAAATTGCATAATCCTTTTTCATTCCCCAATTCAGCCATTGTTAACTACTTGCAAAGATGATATAATCATTGACTCTCATGAAATCCTACTATTTTCTCTCTCCAACAATGCAATTAGCACGTATTGTCTAGTAGTTATACAAATTACATAACCCTTTTCATTTCCCGGAATTTAGTCATTGTTAAATCCTTGTAAAGATTATGTAACTTTCCACATCTTTCAGGTGTGTGATTGAATTTCATGCAAACGTAATTTGCATTGTATATTAACGCAATGCACTTGGTTATTTGAGTTGTTTGTTGGAAGGCAAAGAGTTGCTACTGTTTTGAAGCTTGATGGAGGATTCTTCGGAAGACGAATCTGCCATTTTCATAACGCAGAGCCAGAGGTCGGAAAATGCCGCTGCCGTTGAACGTAATTACGCTTTAACTTTTTGGGGGTCATTTTTAAACGACTAAGAAAAGCTTTCCTTGTATTTTGTTATTGTTTATAGAAGAGCAAAGATTCAGAAAACCAAGGAAAGCAAGTGAAATCTTGCAGGGAGCGACTCCTAAGAGGGCAGAAATAGACGTCAAGGAAAAAAATGAAAAACTGTTTAACAATGATGTTGAGCAAAAATATGATGGACAAAGGGAAGAAACAGGGTTACAGGGGTTAAGCGAAAAGGTTTTAGACGAAAACCAGAGCGAAGATTATAATCAGTCAGTTGTAATTAGTACTCACAGTACGAAAATTGTTATTTCTTACAAGTGAGAAAGACTGTCATTGTCAGATGTGCCCTAAATAAACTGTAAAATGTTTTCGTCTGTACGTCTCCTGGAATGGTACTTCTCATGGTGTATTCATTTACTTTTTAACTTCAGATCTTCATCATAAATTATGCGCGGACATTCGCGAATTTTCAAAAATTACTGAGTGGAAAAGTAACGAAGTAAATACCACAGTCATGCAGCAATATTAAAAATATTGCTGGAAGCAGGCTGCATTATTAAAAATATTGCAGTGCAGCCAGCCCACTGCAATATTGAACGTTTTAGCGCGTTTAGGATTACCCCTGATAATTTCCCTGCTACCAAAAAGGACCGCCACCGTTTTCCTCAGACAGTTGGACTTGACTGAATATGAATACTTTCTCAGGCTGAAATCGCCGATATAATGCTGAGAGAGAACAATAGGATTTTATGAGGGTCAGTAATTATTATGCTGGAGAGCTTGTTAGTAGTAGTCCATGGTTCGGCCGGACATGTTTGCTTGCCTATTTGACTGTGAGAACTCTGGGTATAGAATGGTTTCAACGAAAGGGGTCTTGAAACAGTTAAAAAAAACACCGTGGGCAATTATGGAGGACTTTCCTGGTAAGTAACTGTGTTTTCTTCTCGATCCGTGCCTTATCCTTGCTAAAAAATAATAGGGAAGAAAACACAGTTACTTACCAAGAAAGTCCTCCATGGCTGCTCACGATGTTTAAAACCCCCTGCGTTGAAATTATTCTGTACCCAGAGTTCTCACGGTCAAACAGGCAAGCAAACAAATCCAGCCGAATCATGGACGCTGGAAATCATCGGCTACAACAGACAAGCTCTCCAGCATATTACTCTTTTCTCGAGACAACCGAAAATTATACTTTACAAATTCGGCGCAAAAATCAGGTTTGTTGAAGTCCCCGAGTCTCACGTCCCCGAGTCTTACGTCACAGAGTCCACGTCCCCGAGTCCCAGTCCTCACGTCTCAGTCTCACTTTTAGTCACGGCCCTAAATCCCTCATATGCGGTGAAACATGGTTTACCTACCAAACATGTCAAAGGCATCAGAAGGCTGCGCGTTAGAGGACAAAGCGAGTGGACTCGAGTTTCTGCCTAGAATAACATAAGAAGGAGATTTGTGGGAACGAAGTCTAATGCTGGAAAGACGACTGAAAAACTCGTAGGTACAATGTAGTTGATATCGGCTTGTAATTCACTATGCACGTGCACACGTTTACGTCGAAGGAACAGAATTGTAATCGTTCCCACTCTCAAACCCATTTTTAACGCAATTTCTTCCTTTCTCTTCCTTTTTTTGTCGTATTCCTTTCCTTTAGGTGCACACGGTATAATTTTTACGTTCATGTCGTACTTTAATATGTATCCTAAGCCCAATAAATGGATGAAAACTGAGTTTTTTTTTTGCTAGTTTTGGTTTGTTTTGTTTTAATTTCCTTGTCTGTAACCTTGCACTGTTACTTATAATTTGATATACTAGTCGAAATCCCCAGCCCTGGACCCAGTATACATGCCTAAGTCTCTGATCCCTGGGGGATAATATGGTAAGATTTCCGCTCAGCTCCATTCTTCATTATGCATACATATCTTGGATAACTGAAAGAAAACGATGGCGAAAACAATAGATTACCTTTGTTTTACAATTGTATGGGACTGTACGGAAATCTTGCTGAAAATATTCCGATCAAACTTTCTGTTCCTTGAGCAAATATTTTCAAGGGATTAAAAAAAAAATAGTCACTGTTATTGAAATGCCTTACATTCCCTGTTATTCAAGAAATAGGAGCAAATAAGAGAAGAATTGTTCGTCAGATTCCAGATGAGATTGTCGCCAATCTTGAGCTGCAAGATACTGTAAGGCAGGTAAATAATGAGAAACTTCACATGACCCTCAGTTCACTTGACCCTTTAACCCCATAAGTGACCAGGGAAGAATTTCTCCTTACAATATCAGTACAATATCAAGCAGACAAGTGATGAGAATGAAGAAAAATATCAATTAGGGGATTAATAGCTGATCCAATACCCAACTTCTCAGAACTGACATCAAAAGAATTGTTGGGCAGACAGTAAGGAGAATTACTAATGAGATCTTGGGAGTCAAAGGGTTTAAAAAGTAAGTTAACTACTTTCAAGCCCCTTTCAACTGATTTAGTTTTATAAAATCCAACTAGGTTCATCATTGGGATTTTCAGTCACCCTACTTACACAATCTAAATGGCTAACACCCACGTAATCTAAATTTAGATCATTGGGTTCATGCCGTCCTAAATGATCATCTAAGTCTTCCCAGTAGCTCATTAGATATGCATAAACATTTCGACCAATTTGATCCTTCACTCTTCGGTGGACGAGCCAAGGTGATCGCTACAAAATGCGTCGGTTAAAGCCTGTTTTCTTAGATGTGAAGAATATTGGGCGCGATGGAAATAAAACCACTGTATCGATTCCGCTGAGAGTTGATCTTGGGAAGCAGCCTCATAAGAGTACGGAGGAAAATAGTCAGGACACTAACAGTCCAGTAGAACAAGATGTCCCTCTTGGCAATCTCGATAAGCAGGAACTCTCAACTCAACAGCAAAATCGCGTTTTGAGTATCTCTGTTAACTGGGAAAAGGTACGGGAAAAGTTGTTGAATTCGTACATTGAAGAACAGCATCTCCCAGACAATGTGAACTGTGTGAACTGTCAAAAGAGTATCGCTACAACAAGATGTGAGTACTGTGGCCCTCGCCAGTACTTTTGTGTTGGATGTGCACGAGCTCTACATGTCAATCGAAACAAGTTTCATGTACTTGAGCAATGGAAGGTGTGTATGAATATTTTGGGGCCAGTTGTATTCTAGCTACCTTTAGTGTAACATATCTAGTTAAACTGTACTTTTATATCTACTTCTTGCTTTCTTTATTTTCATAGGATGGGGTATTTTCTCCTTTGTATGCAGACGAGGCAACTGTTAGCTATGGCCATACGTGCAGAACCGCAGCAGTAAAGCTGTTCCGACTTCTGGATGCCTCAGGTCAGTTCATTTCATTTATAGTGGTTGGAGAATACTAGAATGGTTTAAAAACGAAGCGTTCTTTTTCAATTTTATCTGTTCCTTTTTCACATTTTCCTGCCGCTTGCCTAAAATCAAGAACGCTAATGATCTTAATGATAATGATATGATTTAAATTCTCTCAACATGTCAGGGCCAGTAATTAACTAAAATCAAACAATCAGATTGCTCCATTGCCTGTCCAATATTTTCTAAGTATTGGACCGGGTAATGTCCTGAATGATCCCACATGCAATTAAGTTTTTTAATGGCTTGCCAAAGAGAAACAATAAACTTGGCTTGCATCTATCTGTAAGAATCTTTTCTGTCATGCTGGGAGAATATTGGCCCTTGGACTTTTCTGTACAGACCTCGCTGCACTTGGTTTGTACTGTCAAGACCTTGGGCCAATATTCTCTTAGTATGGCCCTTGCACTTGGTTAATAAGGTATATATACAGCCCTCAACAAAGTTAGAGGTATTTAAAGCTGTATGTAATGTTTTTTTTCATTTTGTTTACTTAACTTCTTAAGTTGTTCATTTATTTTGCTATGAATGTCAGGAAATCATCACCTCAAATATGTACAAGTGTGTGATTGTGAGCCACATGCTGTCACACTCTTGAAATGCCAGTTCTGGCCAGGGTCACCAGCAAATCCCACCACAGGATTCAGCTTCAAACTGATGGAGTTTGTAGAGAAGGTCTTTCTTCATTATCAAGTGTCCCTGCTAAACATCACAGAAGTGATCACTGAACTCAATCCTCAGCTACAGCCAACACATGTAGGTTTGCTCGCAAACAGTCTTTTTGAGACATGACATGACTTTTTTTAATTGATTGATTCTGGTTGAATGGTATGTTTTTTTTTAGGTGAGCTCAATTTACAGTATCCTTAATTCAGAATGCTTTGAAGAATTCAGGTATGTTTGCATATAGGTTGAGAATATCAGAGCTGCTAATTTGTGGATGTACAATGTCTTCTAAGGTATTATTGATATTAGAATTAATATTATTTTTACTATTATTATTGTTGTTGTTCTTGTTATATTAGTATTATTAATATTATTATTAGTAGTAGTAGTAGAGGTAGTCACATGATTTACAAGTGCTTATTTATATTATTATTTTATTCATTTATTTATTATCTAGTCCCCCAGCTAATATAGATCTCAAACTCATGCTTTGCTTTTGTCGCTTTTGTGTTCATATGATTCAAAGATACATTGACTGTTTTTTTTTTGTTTTTTTTGTTTTTTTTATTTTTATTTTTAAATTACAAACACAATACTTACAATACAATATGAAACACCACTTACACTAATTACAATGCTTATTTACATTACTCTACTTACAGTCACAAATAATTACACTACTTAGAGTATCCAGCTCTATTAACAACACAATCGACTAATTATGCCATTACATACAAAAAGTACTATTTTCTTTTAACATTGCACAGTGACACATACCGGCGATGGCGACGCCCAGTTAATTCTCTAACAAAAATAAACTACAATAAACTAATAAGCAAGGAAGAATATGAGATCTAAGTTTATGCATTGGTCTTCCATTCTTTTCCTTAAAAAAAGGGCAAACACAAAATTATATGAGAAATTCCCATCTAATTTGAAAATCGCGAAGCTTTCTGTTTCTTATAGTAATTATTTTTTCAACTTGTTTTTTAAATTCAACCTTGTGCAAAAACAATCTAAATATTGGAGAGGTGTTATTTTTTCTACATTCCCAAATAGTCAATTTCCCTAAAATTATCAAATAATTTAACAGATCGTTCCTCTGAAGTAAGCCAACCATAATATCTTTTAAAGACAAAATTAAATATTCGCCACTAAGATCAAACCACCAGACTGTAAATACGTTCCAAAAAGCTTGCACAAAGGAGCAGTTAAAGAAGAGGTGGTACAGATCTTCCGTATAGGTTCCACAAAAAGAACACTTGTCCGAATCACTTAAACCTATTTTGAACAATTTATCGTTTGTAAACAAAATGAAATTCAATACTCTGTATTGAAACGACCAAACATACGTTTTGCTGGCAACAAGATAAGGAATAGAGAAAACTTCCTGTGCATTTGAAAGCCCAAAATCCGCTGTCAACTTTTTAAAGCCATTCGGGATTCTCGCTTTACTTGTTATCATCGTAGAATAAAACTGTTTACACTTTGCAGTATATGCATTAAAAGATTTAGACTTATAATCAAAATTCATAGGATCGAGATTACCCGCTGTGGGGATGGGGCAGGAGCTTTTTGATTTCATATTAATAATAGAAGATCTCAAGGCTGTCCAAGTCAGGAAATTAGTGTTAAGTCCTTTTTGCTTTAAGAATTCATAAGAACGCACATTGTCAACATCGAACTGTAAATCATTCAAATAAGTTATGCCCTTGTCAAAGTATATAAAAAACAGGTTTATTATTAATTCGTATATCCTTATTATTCCAAATTACATTTTGAGAATAATTCACATCAGAAAAGGAGCATCTAAAATCCGCTTTGTACAATGGAGCTTGGTGTCCTATATGTCCAAGGGTAACTATACATTGTAATTTGTTCTGAATAGTAGCTTGCGCTGTAGTTCTGCAGTATTAATTTTATGTTGTTGTTGCTGTTCTTTTTTATATCTATTTTTCTCTTTTCCCCTCTCTTTTGAACAGGATGATGGTGTTCTCATTGAAAGCATGGATGGGTGCTTTGGACTGTGCAGAAAGAAGGACAATTAGGGCATAATTTAGGAACACCCAAACATGGAACACTCCTATTTGCAGACCAGGATGATGTTGACAATTTTGTCAACAGTTATGGCAAAGCTGGAGCAGACATGGAACAGGTCTGTACTTAAGATAATGCAATGCTCATACATTATGGCATAAATGTTAATTTGATAACTGTATGATTTTCCTTTTGGCCCTTTAAATTCAAGATTTTCTGTTTTTGTCCCTTTTTTTTTTTCACAGAACTGCAGTAAGTTCCATGCTGGAGAGGTTCTTTCAGCTTTAAGATCAAAAGGCAAAAACAAACTCTTTGACGAGAAAGGTGTCTTTGGGCGAGTATGCAGACATGACTTTCCCAAAGGATTCCATAACATAAAGCATGGTGAAAGGTATGGAGTATGTAAATACATTTTACCTAATGTTGTGCTCAATCCTATATGTATTGTCTGTTAGAGAGTTACATGATAGAGCCATTATTATGAATTTGTCAAGCTGACAATTGGCACACTTGTATATACAATACAGGTGCATCCTATGATTCTTTACACTATTAGCATCACCATTGTATAACTTTGTTATTAATTTGAATGTCATATTATAGGAAATATGTTCAATTTGTCTTAGTTTTGTGTAAAAAGATATAAAAGAAAAAATTGGTTATTGATTCACCTTTTCAACAATCTTTTCTCTCTACAGAATATCATACTCTGTTTATGAGCTTAAGAGGCTTAGAAGTCTTAATGAGAGCACCAGAAACAGAGTAATCATCATGTATGACATTGCTTGTCTATTAGCACACCATTTGAAGGTAACTAAATTTTTTGAACATGGATGTGCAGGAGGCTAAATGGTAATCTAAAGTGGTATTTAATTATGTGGAATTGTCCAAAGTATTTTCTATTAAATTTGGGATGAAATAAAATAATTTATTGGAACAGACTGGAATTATGTGAATTGTGGAAAGGAAATGAAGATGTAATCATCAGAGTTATTTACTGAATTTTGAGCAATTGGCTTAATCAAATAAAATGTCATTTTTGCAACTGACGTAATTCCATTGTCTGTTTCATCACTTCCTTTCATGGGTACTGGCTTGCTCCCAACATATGGGGGTTCATAGTTCAGTGGGTAGAGCATTGCAATGACAATGTCATGGGCTCAAATCCCAGTGGGGCCAGATTCTTTTCTTCTTTGTGTTTGGTTAAATTCCCATTATTGCTTACATTTAAATTGCATGAATATCTGTGAGGATCACATCTTAACTTCAGAATAGTTTATTACTACTGACACAATTTTCATTTACATGTACATGATTATATTTATTAGTGTTCATCTCAGGAAAGCCTCTTGGAAGGTGTTGATGTTGCCATACCCATATTCCATTGCTATGGGCACAAGGCATCATGCCAGGTTAGTATATATCAGTTTAACAGTAAATGGCCTTGTGGCAATGTGAAGAAATGTGTGGCAATACCTCAACATTGGTTAAATACAGTTGTAATCATACACATCCCATACTTACCTACCAATGGGTGAGCAGTGTGGGATCTGAAATCTGACAGCAGTTTCTAAAATTGAAAGCAAATGATCTGCAAGGGTCAGCTAAGCAAGCAAGGTGAAATATTTAAGCACATGTACATGTTCCTTATAAAAGAGTGGCCACCCTACATAAGCCTATCAGCTTTGGAAATGACCACTAACCAGTGAGCCTTTACTCAAGGTTAATTTTACCTAGAATGAAAATTAAATTTTTAAGTATATAGCCTGCAGTGCAGGTGGTTTTGGTGGTTGTCATCTTTTGAGTGTTTGTTTTACTGGAAAGTTGGGGCAAAAATACAATGCGTGAGGAGGTCTCATGCTCCAACTCTCCACTGTTTTCCTAATTCAAGATGGTGCTTTGAACACTCAAGTTGGAAATATTCATTCACACTGCTAAAATCTGCCTGCACTGCAGGCTAGTACATGTATTTGCTAAATATCTGATGCAAGGTCCATGCCATATTAATGCTTTTATCTTCAATAATGGTTTTATCTTCAATATGATTGTCTGTAGATCCAGTACAGTCCAAGAAGGATCAAGGGAACTGGATTGACAGATGGTGAAGGGGTGGAAAGGTTATGGTCCTTTCTGCGAAGGTTTTCCTCTGTCACTAAAGAAATGAGTGCTCACAAAAGGACAGATGTTTTGACTGATGGGCTTCTTCACTATGCCCAACATTTGTATCACAAATTTGGTATGGTTAATTTTATTGAACACATAACTTTCACATTTCTGTGGGTTTTGCTGAAAAGTAAAAGGGATATCAACTATTGACCAGTACTTTAGCTGGACAGCTTTATCTACCCTGTGTTTTCTGTCGTAGTTGCAATTCTTCATTTTTTCAATATGGACATGTGTGTATGTACAGATGTAACTCGAGGTTGCCTAGTCTTATTAGTACACATCAAACTGATTCCTTTTAATGTTCACAGGTGTTACTCTAAAAGCAAAGTTTGCAAGGGCAGAAACTCTTCTACAGGATGTCAGTGCAAAGCTTAAGGAACTCACTGAAAAACTTCCAGGTATACATTTTAAACCTTTTTTTTTTTTACTCATTGCATTGAAAAACAGCACAATGACTTACATGCATGCTATATGATTATGTTGCAATACATGTATTTACCTGTACTAGATTTTGATGATGATGTGATACAAGAGTGGCAAAAGGATGAAGTTGAAGCACTGAGAGCAAAAGAACACGGTAGTTTTATTCCTCAGCATTTATTAACAATCATTAGGGAAAACAGTTTTTTTTTTTATTCACTAATATATTATTAATCTGTCACAGGATTAATACTGCAGTGGGAAGAATCATATGTCAGCTTGCTCCTCATTTCAGTTTGTGTTTTCATTTCATTTCAGTGTGTGGAAGTACCCACTACCAAATTATTCATTTACATTACCGAGTACCTGAGCTTTTCGAAAGCGATTAAACTTGTAAAAGGCGAAAATCCTACCTAACCAATCGTTGTAGTGGACTACGTGAAACTGATCCATTAGTTGATTCATGGCATTACCTAATCCTTTGTGACTTCGGCTTAAATAGAGCTGTTTTGTAGAGCTTTCCTCGGTCAAACCCAGTCTGGTCAAGTCAGGTAAAAAACCAGTTAGCTCAGTGGTACTTA